ACAAAACACAAAAAACAAGAAACTACAATTTAGTTTAAACAAACATGTTGTCTTACTATTTTTGGAAATGTCCAAATACCTGACAACCTAGGAACCTGAAGTTGATCAAAAACAACAGAGTCTATTGCTGTTCCTGGGTTGTTGATTGTCTAAAATATTTAGTATTGTATTTAAAAAATATTCAACACGGATTATTATGTATATATATAGATATTTGGGGGTGTGAATTGTCTTTTCCAAGCTATAAACAGTAAACATAACTTCAACCTTCATAACGTTATACTTTACATGGAGGTCCCTCGTACATGTATATATACGCATGAACATAAATGAACAAACATCAAAACAACACCTGAATCGGATCAACACCTTTCTTCAACTCCAGGTTTGCACTCTGAATGCTAGACTCTCAGAGTCTCTCTGAGTCTCTCCTGCTCCAGCTTGGCAAAAAACTCTTCCCAACCTCGTGGAGGTGGGAAGCGCTGCAACTTGCTGCCGGCACGAAAGTAGGGCGACGAGAATGACAAACCCCTCCTGGCCGCGAGCGAAAGGAGGCGCGCGGCTGTGGAAACAGCATGCACAGCTCAGCGTGCTGTGGATCGTTATTCTGTAAGATTAAGAAAGAATTCCTCTATCCCAGTGACCCGCGTGGTAACCAAATGCAACAAAAAGGCATGGTAGTTGTATGAATACCACACAGCGGTCGGGTGTCTGAAATTTGGAGCTTCCCCAAAACCGAAACAGATTTCGAGCCGCAGGCCGGAGTTCCCTGTTCGGCCAATCGAGATACCTGTTCGCGTAGCCCGAAGTTGAAGATCTGGCCTTTCAGATGCTATAGTAGAACATAGTAGAACTATTGAATTGCTACTTTCAGGTGACAGTTTGCTAATTGGCGTTCTGTCTCACAGAGCCACCTGTGTATGTTCTGTGTATGTTGGGAGCCACCTGCTGCCACACCGACACCGATTTTTCATCAGGACCAACTTGTGTGTAAAGCTCATGCCAACATGAGCGTCGTTATTTTCATCCCTATAAATACATGTATATATATATATCTCTAGAAGTATCTCGTATCAAACTATAGAGTATATATATATATATTATTTGCACATATTTGCAATATAGATGTATGATGTATCATCTCCTCCTCCTCCTCCTCCGATTTTCGATTTTACCCTTTGCATACAACTGAATTCTATCATCACTTCCTCCCCTAGCGGTGACCGGGCAAGCCTCCCCGTGGGCTCAGCCGGTCCTTTCAAAGACTTCTCGCACTTCATGGTTGGCCAAGGAGTAGGCGGTGCGGCCCGAAGGCCAGTCCGTGAGTCGCACGTCGGCGCCGAAGGCCAGGAGCAAGTCCACGATCTCCACGTTCTTCTGCCTGACGGCCTGAAGCGGTGCAGTCAGAAGTGGTCGGGGTCGGAGTGGATTCTTCGCTTCATGTTTCGGACTCTGGAGGCTGGACAAGTTTGGAATTCAGCTTCTCTAACCTTCGGATGAAGAAGGGTGAGCTATCCTGCGTCCAGCTAGGAGCGTGGACTCTAGTCCTTACGTAATTAGGCACCCACTTAATTAAGTAAGAGAACAGGGCCACGAGCCCTTCCGCCATTGGAACACAGAACATGGAGTATGCTGCTCATTGGGATGGAGACTGATTGTGGTGGTGAGACCACCCTAGCAGCGGCCTCGTGTAACGGATATGTAGAGCAAATCTTCCAGGTAACCTTCTTGCTGTTCACCGTCCCATCTTCAAATCCATTGGTCAGGAGGAAATCCATCAATTTCCGTCGCTTCATCATCAGCATTCCTCGGCATGAGAAGAAACCTCTCGTGAAGTGAAGTCCAGAAACAAAAGCATCACACTAGGCCCCTGCTGAAGGGAAAAACAAGGTCATACAGTCGTACATGAGTAATCATAAGTACATGCAGTAAGTACAGCTGTCGCCAAAAACACTAAAAAACACTCGAGCTACCATGAGGTGCCCACGGCCTCCGGCTTTTCTGATTTGTCTGTACATACCATTAATCTTTTCTGTGCAAATCAAACAAATCGGGGATTTGAAAAGCCCCGTCGGAATCGTCCCAAGAATCGTCGGTGCTTCTTCACCGCATGATCGATCTTCTTCAGATGGGGCTGAGAGGTCCAGGTCTCCACCATGCGAGAAACGGGGTGCTCTTTGGGTACCTGCTCCTCACAGCGATCGGCAAATGAGTGATGCAAATGGTGGCGCCGCTGACTTTGGGGGAGTGGCGTGAACCGAGAAACTGGCCCTGTGCATCCCTGTGCCATGTTCTCTTGTGGCCACACCATAAAACATCCTCTTCTAGAAGAACAGGTTGAGTTTCTGAGGATGCGATTTCCAGCTCTACCCTTCTTGGCCAGTGCAAATCGCCCGAACTTTCGTTTAGTGTCGGCTCCAGTTGAGGTTCTCAATTCCAAAAAACACCTCCCAACCATTAAATGCAAACACACCATTGCGGGATACTCCGTGGAGTATCGTGAAATCATCGGAGTGAAAACCACCTGAACAACCCTGAACATGGTCTTTGGATTTCAGGGGCTTCATCCGGGTTTTGAGGGCCATCCAAATCCATCCAACCCTGCGACGTGTGGAATTTCTGGCCTCGACCTCCTCGACCTCGTCGATGGCCCAAAGACCTCTCCTGGAAGCTCAGAGCCCAGAAGAACGACCAACAAGTGTAGCAATTAGCTAAGCTTGTTACCTTGTGGCAAGTGCTCTATCAGTCCTTTCAAGAGTTGACACAGCATGGAGGTATGACATGGTATGATGTTGACCCCTCTGCCGTGCGGACCACAATGCTCGCAGATGCTCGCAGGAATGGTACAGCAAACGGCAACGAAGGGTGAACCCAACATCAGAACTACGCAGCGTTCTCCAGAATACGCGAAGTTTCCATAGGTTTCCATTACAAACACAGGGTTTGCACTTTCCAAATTTCAGTTGTCTTTGATCGGTTGCCGTGGCGACCTTTGAAGCACAAGGGCCAACATATACTTTGTTCAGTGCCTATATATAGTTGCCAGTGAATCGAGAATGTTGTGTGCGTAGTTGCGATATAATAGCAAGAGCTCCATTCAACTTGTGGGAACTTTGAGCACTGAATCTGTACACTCCGACGAACACATCGCATGGAAGTGGAGGGGAAAAAGCCCGTTCGTAAAGGAAGATCGTCTTCCAAGGAAGCATCCACTTCCATGTGAGGTGTTTGTCAGTGTGTAGATCTATGCTCAAAAGTGATGCATCATGACTGTACAGTCATCCATCATGGGATGTGGGATGTGCATGGTAGCATGTGGGAAGCAAACTGGAGATGAAAACAAGAGGTTCTGATAGAAAAATTGCGGCGTATGTCGCAAAGCTCATCGTCTAATATCATGTCTAAGCATGTCTAAGCCAATGAGCTGGTGTTTGGTTTTCAATGCTCCCGCTCCTTGCTGAGACGTAAGAAGCCCAACGTATTGGATACAAAGCCCAACATAATAGGCAAATGAGACAGAGAGGAGAGGAACACTCAGGGTTTCCTTGGCAACCCAAGGGGGTCTATGGATTTGGATGAATACCTGGGGCATGTATTGCTGTCAGGGTAGGTGACTCTATTTTTTTTGTGAATATATAGAATACTATTCCATCCTGGCATGTCAGTCTGTGGTGGTGTTGTATTCTTGTTCCCTTTATTTCAACATATTACTTGCTTACTCAAAATGTGCATCATATCTTATGATATCTATATATACATCGATTTCTTACAGTATCGATTCGTGTATGACAGCCGGAGATCTTTGCCTTCACCGGACGCTCCTGGGTGTCAGGCCGTCCATGGCGCGGAGCCGATTCGTCGGAGACTCTCTTGAGCCCAAAGAGCTCGGTGGGCCCGGGGTCCTTTTTCCGGTCCCCAAAAAGGCGACGACGGCGACGGCGAAAGAGCTCGGTGACCGAAGCGATATTTTTGGGGGGTCAGGACACTTGCGGTCAGATGATCAAACTGCTTCATAGATTCTTGCGGGGCAACATGCAACTCAACTGATCTAGAAGCGGCTCGACAAGTATACCAACCAAGACTACTGATGACACACGACCTGGGTTCCCAGATTCGATTGTGTTTGATACAGCGAATTGGACAAATCCTCAGGGATCGCAGGCATCTGCAATCGGAAAAGACATCCCAGACACCGCATGTCTGGAATATTGTAATATATATATATAGGTATCCCCAGGTCAACCACCCCAACTGCTGGGTAAATATGGCAGTAAGACAAACCTGCTACCCTTGGTGATTCGATCACAGGAATTGTGCTGAAAGAGGGCAAGAGCCGAGGACTCATTGCCCAAAGAAATCGCAGACCGGGACTGAAATATTTGCCCGCATTCGTATAGCCATCTAAGGGTCAACAGGTAACGCACATATTCCATGATTGCATGGATCAATCCATTGACCAGAAATGATCTGTATCATTCACCAACATCCGAAGCAAACAAAACAGCTGAAGGATGCATATGGATGCGGATGGTTTCCAACAATCACTGTTCACCCTCGAAATCAGCGGCCGGATCGTCCTGCTTGACTGATCGACGGTGAAGGCATATAGCTCACCATCATTGCAACACCCGCGGAGCCCCAATCTCATGGAAGAAACCCACCGGGTCTACTAGTAGCGACGGCCTCCAACCTATATAATAGCGATGGCCTCCACCCTAGTGGCGATGGCCTCCACCCTAGACAGGAAGGTTGAGAGTCTCCAAGTTCTTCCGTTGTTTGTGTTCCTGTCGCCTCTCGATGATATTTCAACACCTGCAGGCCTGAAGAGGTTTTACGGTTTTACAATCAATGTCTGTGGGGGGTTCAAATATCAACAAACACACTATGAGTGTCAGGCGACCAAGTGAGACTCCAAGGGAGCGGATCTAACGGGTTGGACGTGTGCCCATCTCCCAGGGCAACCGCCTCAGTCACATCGACGCCTCAGTCAACGGCCCCACCTGGCCAATGAGGCTGCCATCCAGCTTCGCACGCTGCAAATACCAGCTGCGGACTGGCTGCTCTTCCTGCACCGGCTGCCAACCCCCAAAACCGGGACGGCTTGGCTGCCCCAAAACCGTGGAGTTCTGCAGCTCAGAGTCTTCGGTCAAAAAAAGTCACGACTGGCGAACGAAGCGTCCGACGACTCTCCGAGCGTTCCCACTGGACGTTCCTTCCCGAGCGCTTTTTTCGTCCAATTCTTCTGTCGTCTAGGGCACCAGAGTCACTGCCTGCTCTCGACCAAACATGAAGAACCCCAAATGACCAAATGGCCCTGGATCAAAGATGGTCAAAGGGATCCCAAGAAAATCATTTGGCAACATCCCCACATTCTACTCCGATTTTGAACAGGATCACGGTCGCAAACAGCAGTGCAAAAGAGATCCCATGGAACGTTAAGGGGTGCCCCTTGGGCAGCCCGTTGACATCTCCGACTCTCTTTCAGGAGCTATCGCTCCTTGAAGCCACGAAGCTGGTTGGCTTCCAACACGTGGCCGTTGCCAACACGTGGGTCCCAACGAAAGGGTCGTGTCCACCGGTGTCCAAGACGTCATGTCATTAGTGAAGACTCAATTCCTTTACGAAAAGAGGGTTTCCACTTCCATGTTAGTGAGTGGGAGTGACATGGCACGGGATCAAACCCTCCACGTGCCGCCGCCGCGTTTCAACACGACGCGTTGACACGTCCGATCGAAACGCCCCGCGCGCGGATTTCGCCTCGATCGCAGAAGCAGTCAGGTCGACCTGAGGAAATAGGAACTGACCTCACTGGAGTTGAACATACACCAACCCCCAGGGATCCAAGTACCTGCTCAGAAGGTGATTGGAGACACTGTTAAGTTGTGTAGGTTAGGAGGGTCCAAGTACGTTCTGAGAAGTTACTTGGATCCCTAGGGAAGCAATACTCTTACTGAGGTTTCACTGGGACCATGGAGGCCATGGAGGCGGGACCTGTAGGGCAAGTGAGTGATCAGAAGGTCTCTGGGTCTGGCATCTGTGACGGGAAAGCCTCAAATCATTCTTTCGTTGCTTGCGAGGTCTGGCCTGATTTAGGAGTATTTCTTGCCCAGTTGCACAACCCAGTAGGCAACACAATTTGTCTTCTTGATGACTAAGTCAAAATCTAGGTGGGCCCCTACGTCTCCGCTTGAACAAAGGTAGACTAGGTCCAGCTGGGATGTGCAACGGCAGCTTCAGGGTTCTTTGCTTTGAGAAAGCATGTCACCTATTCCCCTCGGAGCGAGCGCCGGAATCCATCCATTTCGGACCCCGCACCCGACTGACGCTCCGGTAGATCTTCCCCCCAGCGCCGCCCATGGCGGACTCGAAAAGGACGGAGGATGTGATGGGACTCGGTGCCGATATCCACTGACGACTCAAGGTCTGAAGCGAAGCTGCGACCAAACCGATATCGGCTGAAGCGATGCTTCGCAAAACGAGGAATCTTCGTCCGCGATGCTTTGTTTCAAAGTCTAGTTGATGCTGGAGCTTTCCTGTCTTGCTGTAAGCCTTTCTGAGGCAGCACATGAACGCGACATATGTCTAGGAAGCTAGCTTCTTCCTTGGAAACAAAAACATTCCGATTCCTCTAGTATTGTAATACATAGAGGATATGAAACATGCATGATATGCCCAGCGAATCAAGATCAACATTCTTGATATAGCCGCATTGGATTGAGAACAGGGTTCTTGTGACCCTAGCTGTAGCTTCCGTCCGGGTGCATGGCACGGCACTGGCGATCTCTACCCCGAGACTGTCAACACACCCATCCCTCCAACCCAACCGCTGAAAGGGTACCAAGAAAGGTGCGATGACCCACCCAGAAAGGTATCCAATTGAGCTCAGCTGGTTGGTGTTTTCAACCCACTTGAAAAATAGGAGTCAGAGGGTCCAATCATCCCCAAGTAAGGCTTGAAAATAGAAATATCCGAAACCATCACCTAGTCAGTCAGGTTTTTTTGGGGTCATAATGCTGTTGGTCCATTCTGTACCTGTTGGAATTTGTTGGGCAAACCAAGCAACAAGACCACAGGTCCTGTTGGAGAGATGTCTTCTCTTTTTCAGTTTCTACGAAGCCCTGGTGGACGAAAGCTCGTTTGATGTTTGACTCCATGAAAAGCGAAATGTGCACAACCAAGAGCATCTTCCTTTCCCACACATTTGGCAGAACAATGATTCGGTCCAATGATCTTAGGATATCTTAGGACTCCCCCCCAGTCCAGAAACTGGACTAGGCCGGCCTGTGAGCTTCAACGTCCCGGAATTCCAAGTTTCAAGTCCTCCCCCAACACTCCACGATCTCAAGATCCATAAACAAATTGTAGATTGTAAACGTTTGCAAACCCATACTTCCAGTCCCAAACCTTTGCTGAAAGTTGGTAGCCGCTGGTAGCCTGTAGAACTCCCACTCTTCCAGGCAGCACGTCCCAGCCAACGCCGCCCGGCGCACTCGTGGCACTGCGTCCCTTTTCCTCGTCTTCGAGCGCCCGGGATTCAACCCAAGGTAAATCCTCTGTGAAGTCGAAAGAATTGACTCGAAAGGCACACACCCAAGAACATCCTGAAGAGACCTGTTTTGAAGAGATATTATATAAACAAGATGGAACCCACGAACCCGAATGCAAACACGATCGAAAAACTAATATGTCCAAAGGACACTCTTGTAGGACACTCTTGCGGGACACTCTGTAGGACACTCTTGTGGGCCACTCTTGTAGGAAACTCTTGTGGGACACTCTTGTAGGACACTCTTGTAGGACACTCTGATAGGACACTCTTGTGGGACACTCTTGCGGGACACTCTTGTGGGACACTTTTGTGGGACACTCTTGTAGGACACTCTTGTGGGACACTCTTGTGAGACACTCTTGTAGAACACTCTTGTGGGTCACTTGCAGGACACTCTTGTGGGACACTCTTACACGACACTCTTGTAGGACACTCTTGTGGGACACTCTTGTAGGACACTCTTGTAGGACACTCTTGTCGGAAACTCTTGTGGGACACTCTTGTGGGACACTCTTGTGGGACACTCTTATAGGACACTCTTGTGGGACACTCTTGTGGGACACTCTTGTAGGACACTCCTGTACGACACTCTTGTAGGACACTCTTGTGGGACACTCTGCGGGACACTCTTGTGGGACACTCTTGTGGGACACTCTTCTAGGACACTCTTGTGGGACACTCTTGTAGGACACTCTTGTGGGATACTCCTGTAGGACACTCTTGTGGGGCACTCTTATAGGACACTCTTGTGGGACACTCTTGTAGGACAAAGTTGTGGGACACTCTTGTGGGACACTCTTGTGGGACACTCTTGTGGGACACCTTGTGAGACACTCTTGTGGGACACTCTTGTGGGACACCTTGTGAGACACTCTTGTGGGACACTCTTGTGGATCACTTGCAGGACACTCTTGTGGGACACTCTTAGGAAACTCTTGTGGGACACTCTTCTAGGACACTGTTGTAGGAAACTCTTTTGGGACACTCTTGTGGGACACTCTTATAGGACACTCTTGTGGGACACTCTTGTGGCACACTCTTGTAGGACACTCTTGTAGGACACTCTTGTGGGTCACTCTTGTAGGAAACTCTTGTGGGACACTCTTGTAGGACACTCTTGTGGGACACTCTTGTGGGACACTCTTGTAGGACACTCTTGTGGGACACTCTTGTGGAAAACTCTTGTGGGACACTCTTGTAGGACACTCTTGTGGGATACTCGTGTAGAACACTCTTAAGGGACACTCTTGTGAGACGCTCTAGTGGGACACTGTTGTGGGACAGTCTTGTACGACACTCTTGTGGGACACTCTTGTAAGACACTCTTGTGGGACACTCTTCTGGGACACTCTTGTAGGACACTCTTGTAGGTAACTCTTGTGGGTCACTCTTGTGGGGCACTCTTGTAGGACACTCTTGTAGGACACTTTCTGGGACACTCTTGTAGGACACTCTTGTAGGACACTCTTGTGGGTCACTCTTGTAGGAAACTCCTGTGGGACACTCTTGTAGGACACTCTTGTGGGACACTCTTGTGGGACACTCTTGTGGGACACTCTTGTGGAACACTCTTGTGGGACACTCTTGTAGGACACTCTTGTGGGACAGTCTTGTAGGACACTCTTGTGGGACACTCTTGTGAGACACTCTTGTGGGTCACTTGCAGGACACTCTTGTGGGACACTCTTAGGAAACTCTTGTGGGACACTCTTCTAGGACACTCTTGTGGGACACTCTTGTGGGACACTCTTGTAGGACACTCTTGTGGGATACTCTTGTCGGACACTCTTAAGGGACACTCTTAAGGGACACTCTTGTGAGACACTCTTGAGCGACACTGTTGCGGGACACTCTTGTGGGACACTCTTGTGGCACACTCTTGTGAGACACTCTTGTAGAACACTCTTGTGGGAAAATCTTGTGGGACACTCTTGTGGGACACTCTTGTGGGACACTCTTATAGGACACTCTTGTAGGACACTCTTGTGGGTCACTCTTGTAGGACACTCTTGTGGGACAGTCTTGTGGGACACTCTGTGGGACACTCTTGTGGAACTCCTTGTGGGACACTCTTGTAGGATACTCTTGTGGGACAGTCTTGTAGGACACTCTTGTGGGACACTCTTTTGGGACACTCTAGTGGGACACTGTTGCGGGACACTCTTGTGGGACTCTCTTCCAGCTCCCCAGATACTCCGCGTACTAAAGTTGTACTACAAGGTCGCCAGTTCTCAGCTTCCAGCTCCCCAGATACTCCACGTACTACAGTACTACAAGGTCGCCAGTTCTCAGCTTCCAGCTCCACCGGACAAATCGCACTCTCGCCTGCATTTCGCGCACTCAACACGCACGATCTCCGCAGAGGGTTGCGAGCGCATGGGACAAATCGCACTCTCGCCTGCATTTCGCGCACTCGACACGCACGATCTCCGCAGAGGGTTGCGCGCGCATGGGACAAATCGCACTCTCGCCTGCATTTGGTGCACTCGACACGCACGATCTCCGCAGAGGGTTGCGCGTCAAGTCTCCAAAACGAGCGTTTCGTACGAGACTTCCTCAAAAACTCACACGTCAAAGTCTGCAAAACGAGCGTTTCGTACGAGACTTCCTCCAAAAGCCAAGCGGAAACACCCATCGGAGCACACACATCACGCAGCCCTGCCAAGCAGTTTCGCGATTCCAGCCCCTCCAAGCAACATCCGCTCACACGCCAATCCCAATGGGACAGCGACATTCACCTCTACCACAACTCACAACCTCACGATTCCCTGCGCCTGCCACGAGAATTGAGCTTCAACAAAATTTGCACCACACCACACGTTTGGAATGATTTCGACCCGTTCAGAGCACACTCCCATCCATCAAAATCGCCATTTCAGCTGAGACTTGTCACGAAAACAGAGCTTCGATGCCACACCCTGAAACGCAAATCCCAATGGCACGGCCACATCCAACACCCCAAAAACACGACTCTCCAAGCGCTAATCCCAATGGAGCTGCGCCGTAATCTGCGGATCTCACAAAACGCTGCGCCTGTGCAGCGAAGTGCATCACGTTTCTTGCGCGACATGTCCGTGTCACGCAAATCACAATGGAATAGCGGCGCAAACTGACACGTGACACGTCCATGCAAAGTCACTTGCAAAAGCTTCCCCCAATGGCAGCAAATTTGAGACGCGACGACGACGAGAGACGACGACACGACGCAAGCCACGCGAACACAGCTCCAACCCCCAGACCCCCAACTATAAACGGGAACCCTTCGCTACGCATTCGGGAAAAAGTACCACAAGGGCGATACGCAATTGCAACTTATTGCAACTTCACTTCATGATCTTTTATGTTCTTAAAACCAGCTTTTCAGTCATCGTCTCGGCAGTTCCGTGCCGAGAAGCTTGGATATCACATGATATTCCTAGCAGTTCAAGCTTGGCCAACATAGGTCATGTGGTACATCAATTTAAATTATCCATGAGTCCTATCATCCACTTCAATGCACTTCAACATCCATGTTTGAAAGACCTGCTTCCTCCTCCTTCCCAGGGGTTTCTTGCACATTTGGCGGTGAAAAAGGCGGCAACTGGCCCAGCCGCAGTCCATGAGGCTTCTCTTAATGGCGCCTGAAAGGCTGACGTGGAGAGGGATTTACTGATTTGCGCTATATGCTTTGCTCAGTTGCTGATTCGAGAGTTTGGAGAGCACAAAAACAATCAACATATATATATATATATATCTTGCTGGTGAGCCCTCAAAACATCCAGCTTTAGAGTATGAAACGTTGTCTCAAACACCACCTGAACGTCAAACGTAAACGTAGAGAGATTAGAGAACACTACAAGACTAAATCTCAAGGGTGGATCATTGCTGCAATCTTCTGCTTGAAGGGGTATGATACAAATAGAGCCGACCAGCTGACCGGGTTTCCGGGTGGCCGGCCATTCCATGGTTCCATGGCCGGAAGCGGTCCCTCAAATGGATTCGATTCTTTCCAGGACTTCTCCATTCTGAGACAGAGTCGTACAGCTGGCCCAGTGTTGAACCCGAATATGAAAAAACAAAGGCCTAGAATTCGGACCTGCTCATGGGGTTTTCCGTCTATATGCTTGGACAACAAGGAGATTCCCAAAGCCTACCAGTGAACTCCAGATCTGACCGCGGCTGGCCATGAGAAGAGCCAAAAAGTCCTCTGCTCGCGCGGTGCCAGATTTTTCACTGCACGAGCACTAAAGTTTCTTCCAGCCACCGAGATGGCACTTCACGATCCGGATGTTTGAACCGGAGAGACCTGGACGACCAACCAGACAGACCATTCTCCTACAGGATTCGGGCGAGGTATTTTCTGATCCCAAAAGATCCAAAAGCAACAAAAAACAACCTTCCCACACATTGGGCGGTCTTAATCAGTGAATCGTGCAGTCTGGGAGGCCTCCGTAGTTTTGCTGTTCACAGTCTTTCTGGTCAAAAAGAAGGCTCTCACATCAGCCAAGTGAGGGATTCAACACCTTGAAGCCTCAGGGCTTGCAGGGCGGGTGTTGCTTCCTGTTCCAAACACCTGAAGAGCAGCATGATCACCAGCACCTCAAGGTCTCACACACACGCACACACATCCATGCGGGAAAATTGCATCGCAATGCCAGTGTTGGGAGGGTCTTCCATTTTCTTCCAAACGGATGCACCGTCCGAACGACTTCAGCCTGGTGCGTTTGCTTGACATGGAGTCTGTGTGGATTCTGCCGGACCGGAAGAGCTTCGCGGAAAATAGATTCCCATCGGGTAGGGCGTGAAAAGGATTCCCCTCGGTCTTTCAGTGCTTGCTTTTAAAAGCAACGAATCACAGGGTGTGGTTCTGAAGTAGTAAGATTCACTCACCGTGTGGATACGATTATAAAAACTATAGGGCTTATTTCTCAAAGATTCACTTCTCTCAATTGGAACTTCTAACATGATCTTCTCCACTGTCCGAGGGCAAGCCAGCGCTCAGGGCTGCCTATGTTCGGCCTACAAGGAAACTCAAAGAACTGGCGCAAACAGGCTCAAAACGATATGCTCAAATCTCAAAAGCCATGTTTGAGCAACTTTAGAATTTTGTTATGGTCAGCAGACTCTCCACACCTTTCCAAAATTGATCCAGAATATCCAGAATACATGCTCAGCCCAGACGATGGGACATGGACTTCTAAGGCACCGAAAGCAGTTGGAACAAGGGAACCGCGGTCCATCGCCCCCTTTGAACCCAACGAGTATTAATTTCGGTGGGACCAGTGAAGACTTTTGGATCCGAACAAGCGCCTACACAGGCAAACTCCTACACTGGGTGCTCCATGGCTACGTTTCTTGTCGACAAACAACGACCAGCCGCAGGAAACAGTTGGGGATGGAGCTGGTCCAGTTTTCTGCAGACAGGAGCCAAATACATCCTTCCCCGCTCACTGGCTAAGACATTCCCGCAAGACCACAACTGGTCTGGATCATTCTTTGATTCCGCCAAATCTTGGTTCTCTGTCTCTGTATGCAACATACACATGGTCCACCACCGAATCCTTCAACTGCACCTGATCACAGATCACAAGATAACATCTGAAATTGGTCCACTTCCCCCGCAACCGTTGCCCCGCCTCATGAGCTGCTCCGAAAAGCAAACGCATACCTTGCTTTTCTCTCATCTCGGGCGAAAGGGATGACCCCGGGTTCTCCAAAGAACGATCAAATGACTCACCCGGGCTAACCAACTCCACCTCTTTGATTGCAGTGGGGTCTCACGATTCCACAAACAAAGTTTTGCAGGTTGTCTACTGAGTGGGTAGGCATGCGAGGTCCGGAGCACTGGTCAAAGACTCAACAAAGGGATCTCAAGAACCTCCCTACAGATCACCAACAAGGCTGAGTTTGATTCTTTCCTTGGAGGGTCTTGGAACAAGCGGCGCACGGTCCCACCCCGATGTGGGGCAGCAAACAAGTCTAGACGCGGTAGACGGCGGTAGACCACCACACGGAAGGAAGACCTAAACATATCGTTTGTGAAAGGTACTGGTTAAGAACCACGCGATGTGATCAAAATCCTTATTGTTTTCGTATGACGCAACTAATTACTCTTGACAAACTCCTGCATCACCTCGAATACCAAGCAACAGCTTTCCTTTCAACTCTGCCACACGGCCCACAAGCTAAACCTGCTCGAAATTCCTTCACCAGTTATGTCCATTGGCAATTATGGTGCAATAAAAGCAGCATGTTTATCGAGGGATCACTCAGAATCGTGATATCAATAAGAATACTATACTATACTATGCTTCCTTAAAACATATATGTGGATCAGCCGCGGTCAAATTGAGACATTCAGAAGTCAATTTTTGGTGGCCAGCATGAACGATCAATTATAATTCTCTTTCAATTTATATGTAATTAAAGGACGCTAGTAGCCGCTAGTAGTAGCTCCTGGCATCGCTACTCGTAACAAGGGCATCACTACTAATTACTAGGAGCAAGGACACTACTAGTAGCAATGCCCTTTTTAAACAGCTTTGAAGGGAGGTCTTTTGACCGTGTGAGGTGACATAATTAAGCGTCTTGCAGGATTCTAGGGGGAAAGGTTTGTCAATTTGGAACCTTCAAGAAGAAAGACTTTGGTCCGGTATACTGCTACTTCGCCAGCTTTGAAATGGCCAAGATAAAACCAAACACAGCAAATCAGGCTGCCCACTCCTGCCCACACGCAAAAACACACATCCCGTCCCCCCCCCCAAAAAAAGAACCACCCAACTTTCCGGGATGGTCCCGAAACTTCCGTCCATCTCGTCGAACCCGTCCATCGATCGAACCCGTCTTCCGTCTTCTTCCACGCGAGAAGCCGACGGGTCTCTGGTTGACCTTCGGGGATCTGTCCATAGGGTCCATCATACCTCCTGGGCACCCGAGACCGGAGGGTAGCTCCGTCCGGCCGAGACGACGAGCGGAGACGAGACGACACGAGGGTAGCTCGGAGCGAGGGTAGCTCGGAACATCGGGAACCACAAAAAGTCGATGAGTCAGAGCGTTCGATTAAAGAACGGGAACCACTAGAAAACAGAACAGAACTCAAATATGTTCCACCGCCTGACTCGGTATCAAGTTTCCTTTTGGGTCACCACGCCGAAGTCTTATATAGTCTTATCGACACAACATATTAACTTTACATCAATCCAAATATTCACATGAAAAACCACCTCATATTTAATAGTACACCTGGTGTATTTGCTACTTCTTTTATATGGTAATGTCCATGTTTCTTGTTCGGGGGAAAAAGGACATGAGAACATCTTCAACCGAAGACCTCTCTTTCATCTTCAGTGTCCTGTCAGGTCTGGTGAAGGTGAACCAAAGAGTCTTTGCTTCCCGCCGTCATGACTCATGACACCCCTGGGCCATGCAAAAACCAGATCCACTGTGACGGTCAATTGAACAGCGGTATTCTATCCTGTAGCTGTAGCTGAAAGAAGGTGGCCAAACATCAAACAGATTCAAATAGGCTGTCCAAAATGACTCTGCCTTAACGGAATCGTCGCCGATGGGGAGCCGGGCTTCGAAGCTTTGTCTGACTAGTGCAGTTCTCTTATGTTGGACCAAGCCCAAATGAATGGTAGGTCCTGGATGCCCCTGAGTCTCTGTCCCCCCAAAAAGGTGTTCGACCATGGCTTGGAGAGCATTGTTCACTGCGTAGGGTTCCATGTTTCGCTGGACCCTAACCAGAAGACCCCACAGTGGGTATGCTTGGACGGCTGAGAGTTCAGTCTCCATGGTGGCCTCTAAGGCACTGCCTGGGCTGGAAAAGGACAAGAGAACAACACAAAGAAATAGCAATATATAACAAAATATATAGACCTAGAAGCAATGGCCTCCAACCTAATGGAGAAAAAATAAACAAGATCTCGCTAAGACATGCTTCCTTGATCTCTGTTTGTCTTTCTTGGATTTTTGTCACGCTTGCGTGTGGAGGAGACACTTCATACTAGTACCATGATTGGTACCTCTTCGTGGATTACCCATTGAGGCTTCGTATGTTGCCTCCGTTCATTGTTTTGCCGCATCGTTGATCAAGAAACTGTAACTTCCTGGACTACAAAGCCTTTGGCCATCCGTATCTTGTAGCCCTTTAGCAAAACCTTCAAAAAACGGATCTCTGACTGATTCGCGAGTCAAATCTTCTCCTCCCATTTTTGGTTCCCCGATCGTTCAGCTCCTGAAGGCGTCACGAAAACCTGAAGCGCGTTCCACGGGGACGAAGGGGTTTGTCTGCGTCCGTGCTTTCGCACTCATGACCTGTTTTTTGTGTGTTTTCTGAGGTTTTTGGTTGTTTTCGAGGTCGCGACGTTGTAGGTTGTGGGCTGGACATCTTGGTTCTTCTTCGAACGTGCTGACATGCACGTTGTGTGGATTCCCAGGAAAAACTCCCCGACGACATGGAGACGAGGCCGGGTCGTCTTCGCCCAAAAATAGGACTTGAATCTTGAACAGCGACGCCTCCAGATTGATATTGTTGTTTATTGATTTTTTTCGCAAGGAGAGGTCTTCTAGCAGGACTGGATCAGGGCTGGCTACTGTTCGTGAATTTGGCTTCAAGTGTCGTTCCCTTTACGAGCGTGGAATATGCGGTTTCACCTCCCCAGCTCACATTCCAGACCGCCGCGAGTGCCGAGTTGCTTTTCTGCGTGTCTTCACTGATCGAGCTCTTTAGTTCCTCGACGCCCAACTTCAACGATGATCATGATCCATTTGTTATTAAGTTGGAGGCCATCGCTAGTAGGTTGGAGGCCATCCCTGTAATTAGTCCAAATGGTTTATGGGCGGACTCCCACCAGCTTGCTGACCGCATTCGGGTTCACCTACCGCTGAATGACAGTGCTGTGGTGTGATGTCCGACGGTCGAACATGACAAATCTGCAATCTTTTGAATTGGAGCAATCCAAAAAAATCAACGAATGCTAAATATTTGCCGGTCAACAAGTTCATCTCTTTCATCAAAGACAAAAACGCTGACAAAGCACACAGACACAATTCTAAGAGTGCGTTGATTTCTGATGATTGTCTAGTGCATGCTGCCCTGGAAGATCCTAAAACAGGCTTCAAACAGAACCGCCCCTGAGCGGCACTCCTGCGCCAGGCGCTTCAGCGCGGTTAAGGTGCCAGGCTCCTGATCAGCAACTCAGGCACGTCGGCAGGGCCAAGGCAAACTCCGCACCAAGAAGAGCTCCAACTTAGAAGCAATGGCCTCCAACCTAAGAGCTCCAACTAGAGGTAGTTTGTTGATGTTCCCCTCTTCCAGCATTATTTTTGGCTGGGGATCTCCCTCTTTTGTTGGGCACACCCCATCCCATCCCCAGCTCCGAGCTCTGCGCCCTCTAAGCCAAGAACACCAAGATGGGTCGGATGGATGAAGCTGTAGACTTAACGAAGTGCCCCTTGTCTCCCGACGTCATCTCCACCGGTCGCTGTTGGGTTCGCCAAGTTGAGCCGACGACCTCCAAAGCCATGCTCATCGACCACAATCAAAAGCAACTCACATCCGTTTGGTCTGCTGCGACCCCCCTGTCAAAGCTGGCTCGCAAGGTTTCGCGTTGGTGGAATTGCGAGGGGGGGATTGGGGAGCAAGTACTCTCTCCCCAAACGCCACAGGACGCGATGCCAACGACCACGTCAAAACTACACGAGTCAACGGCCTTGCTCCCCACATCGGCGGTCCGGTTCAATCTTTACGACAGGTCGGACGCCGAAACTGGCATGAATGAATTCCACCAGCCCGACCGCGGCGTAATTCCACCCCCGGCCTTGGGAGATGGACGTGGAACCTGACCGAGAACGGACGAGAACTCGTCGAGCCGTTTCCGAACCTTTCAGATGTTGGGCCTGGGTTAGCGATTTCCCACATCTGGTCATGTGCACACATGTTTGGAAACCAATCCCTGGATGGGGAATCCGGGAATCCATTGTTGGTGCTCACTCTCTGGCACACCTCACTTGAACTTTGACTTCATGTTAGAGAACATCACAAACCGAAGGAACGGCGATACGCACTCTGTATTCAGGGTCCACAGATTCTTTTCGGGCGACCAGCAATCCGCTGCAAAGCGGCAAATGGGACAGGGCACAGGGCACACCACAAGGGCTGCGAGAAGCCAAGGTGATACTGGGAATGTGAAGTACTTACTATACTATCATATACATAGGTCAAGATCAAGAGGAACTACCTCTCCGACTAGAACTGACGAAATGTAGGTCCGGTGGCATTTGCTTGCATGGAGTGCATCTTGTACATGTGGGAGTCTACAGGCTTGGATGAATCTCATGCTTACGCCTTGGACAAGGGTCAGGGAATGCTTTCGTCTTATGAAAGGTCTGTCGCCATCTTCGCCATCTTGGTGGCTCACCCACTGATTGCACTTAGTGACTGTGAGTGCCAGGGACTTGTCTCACTAAGCCCACATAGAAGATGTTGAATCCCCTTTCGGTCCTCGCCATGCCAAACCAACTAAGTGGGATGAACCTTGAACCTTCTCAAGTACTTTGTGACTCTGGTCCAAAAAAACCCTTGAGCACTGCATCCACCCCCCCTCAGTTGCTCTGGATTTTGCTGCACTGTCCGGCAGCTCTTTCGCCATTAAAAGAGGCATGCCAAAGAGCTACATGTTGTAAAATGTCCTGGCCAGTTCCTGTAGACCAACAGATTCAAGGAAACCTGGCATTAATTGAAGGATCTTTGAAACACTTTCTGCATGCTGAGCAAATTACAGATTATTCCCATCCTGAGATCATTGACCAACTGGCTGACATGCTGCAAATGACGTACTTGGATCCAGCAATGATCCCAAGAAGGCATGATAAAAAATAAATAGCTTCAAAACACGCGATAAACACTGGGGTTTCACTCCGACCCAGCTTGTTGAACTGTTGAAGGAATGCAATCAGCGCTGGCAAGCTTCACAGGCTTTGAACATGTTTCAATATCACCTGGATTTGTTCACACTCTTCGTACTACTCCGTACTACTCACTCGACAAAGCCTGATCAGCCTGGCTGAAGTCCGACTGGACAAAATACCTTGCGGCAAATTACATGACCTGCTGCCAAACAAGAAAAGATGTAATCTAAAGGCATTCCATAATGCAAGCATATATTTTTGAAGCCTCCATCTTTGTGTAGACTGTTTCTTTGATGAAAGTGCAGGTCAATGCTCACGGTTCAAAACTTTCAGCTCACGAAGCGTTGGAAAACCCAGGCCCAGTGTCTCCACGTCCAGGGAAACAACCTTGCTTATCTTGCAACACTTCGGCTCACGGAGAAGCTAAACAAATCTTGGAACCAAATACGGTAGTAGCTGTAGTAGCTTCTTGTTCCTAGTAGCGATGCCAGGAACTCCTAGTAGCGTCCTTGCTCCTAGTAGTAAGGCCAGGAGCCCCTAGTAGCTTCTAGATTGCCAACAAAAAACAAATGTCAAACATGCTAGTTCACATCGACTAAACATGGTGTGGACGGGGTCCTGTGATATGTCATCAGGTGCAACGATGGATTTTTTTTGGTGCAGCGATTGAACATGAGAAGGCTATTCACATCCACAGTTTCATGAATGATTCATCAACAAAAAATAAGAAACGACCTCATCATTTCTGCTCTTAAAGACGTCGGAACGTGTCTTACCATCTTTACCGTCCGGTCACGGTTCCGAGGAGAGCCTTGGCTCGACGGGTCACTCAGCTGTTACAATCGATATATATCGGTGTATTATATCTATCTATCTTTCCATCTATCTTTTTCTTACATGATATATATATAGAATTATATAGAAATTATTTATATATTTTTTTCTTACATGATCTTACATGTGTCAAGTGTCACTAGGGTCCCACACTTGGCATCGTTCCGGCGGATTCCTACGTAGCGCGGGTTCCGCTCCCGGTCGACGTGTATCCCACTCGATCAGCTAAAGGGGCTCGTTCCGTGCGCACGTTCTTCATCGAATTCTTCACTCCAAAAATCTCTGAAGCTTCCAATGAGCACACCTTGGATTTGGTGAAAGCTGGGACAAGAATCTACACTGCCTGGAATCATCATTGAATCATGGAAGTGGAAAACCGCTTTGGTATTCGGAACATTGCCTCATCCATCTTCCCCGAACGGTTCGAGGATTTTTGACAGTTGGGGGGGGGGAAACAAACAAAGTCGGCCCTTCTTCCGCGAAACCAGGACACCCGCTCACTTCGTTGACGTGACACCAAAGGACTTTCTGGAGAGGATCCTCGGCTGAGATGGCCAGCGGCTTCCAAACGTGTTCTGCGATCCATGGCCGCTGTGAGCATTGTCTTGAAGGAGCTGAAGGCAAAAACTGCGGCAGGCAGGATGTTTCATGGCCATGGGAGCATAGAAAAGATCCCTGAACAGACCATGGAATTGTGACTCTTCTGATTAGATTTCGTAGAGTGCAAGTGCAACCACAGATGCGATATCTCTCGGAACATGTGTTTGCTGCAGGTATCGGTCAGTGTGGGAGAAGGAAAGGAGAACGACGACGTCGGGAGGAGCACATCATCTGGTGAAGTCGGTGCGACTTCACCTGATGTTACCCGAGCCTTTTTGAGTTGTCCAAGTTACCAAATCCTCGGTTTTTCTAGGGTTTTTCACTTACTTGCTACATCTTACTTCATCTTGTTTCTTGTATCTTCTTGCCTGCCGTAACCCGAACCCTGAGTGTTCTTTCCCTCGTGGAAGTCCAAATGACCCGACGTCTGGCACCAGACACTGAAGCAAAAACGATGCATCAAAAAGGTTGGACAAAAATGTTGGATTGAAAAACACCCCTCGGCTTTTCTGATCTTTTCTGTAGCACAAGCGCTTCACCCAAGTTGCTGCAGGTGACGCCCCGAAAATACCAAACTAAAGCAACTGAACTCAACTTTTGCTTGGCAATCAGCAGGAAAGCCATGGAAAGCCTTTGGTTTAAAGCTGTCTGGGTTCGAGATCTCCACCTACCAGCAGGTGTGCGGTTTCCACGGATCGGAGATCGCCATGGCATGGCATGATGGCAGGCACGCCATCGTGACCATTGAGAAATGTGAAGGTGTTAGGGTCTTTGCCCGTGTGCTGGAGTGTAAAACACCTGTGGAGCTGATGCTGAAGAATGGTTTGGAAAGCCACTGTCATCCTGGGCGGATTGTAGTGCTTCGGGCTTTCCAGGTTGCTTGGCATGATGGTCGGGGTCGCTTCATTGCGGACAAGGAGGGACCTTTGGGTGAGCCGGAGTTCATTCTCCAACCCTTCTTGGATTGTATGGCACCAGTTTCCACGGTTGAGTTCTTCGCTGGACTTGGTGGCTGGCATGAAGGTTTGAGGGTTGCACAGAAGTCGACTAGAGCTCTCATTGACTTCGACGAGAAGGTGACAGCTGCTACAGCCAGTAGGTTGAACACTGAGGTTCTTAGCCCTGCGTCTTTCTGGAAGAAAGCTGTGGCCGATATGATTACAACTCCGGTGGTTGTATGTGGCAAGACTTCGTATCGGCTTGTGGTCCAGACCATTGGCCTACTCAATACATTGGTTGGCTTTGCTTCGCCGCCTTGCCAGCCTTGGAGTGCCAGTGGAAATGGTGAAGGGTTGAGTGGAGACAATGGCCAGTCCTTCAAGCAGCTCTTTGAGGATGCTGCTGACCTGGGTCTGTGGGCCTTATGCTGTGAAAATGTGCCGGGGATTACGAGACACAAGGACTTCCAGGCGCTCAAGTCCTTTGCGGCTGACATAAGGCTTCCATTTGGCCTGTGAAAGTGTTGTCAATGTTGACCATGTCCATCCCATCTCTCGTGAGAGGTGGATTGCTGTTTGGTGTCGACGTGACAAGATGGCTGATGCTGATGCTATTCGCTTGGCTAGCTCCATGGTTTGGAAAAGGCCATTCATTCATGAACCGTCGTACTGTTTGAGCCTCGCCACTGAGAATGCAGCATTCAGGCATCTTTCGAGCAATGACCTTAGTTCTCTGCTTCCTGATTCTGAGGCACTTGAGATGTTGGGACGGCCAGATTTGTTGCCTGCCAGGGAAGGGGGGGGTAAATACTTCCACCCAACTCAAGTCACCAAGGCACGTACTCGAGACATGAACCAGCCCATCGTGGCTGCCATGGCTACCTACGGCCATCAGCACAAACCCCCTCTTCGGCTCCTCAAGAGGATAGGTTTGAATACCCACTAGGTGCAGATTGATGGACACATCCGATACTACCACCCCGTCGAGGTGATTGTTGCAATGGGTTTTCCCCAGGAGACTGTTTTGGCTAAGGATTTCTTCGATGCTCATCGCCAGGCTGGAAATGCTTTGACCATCGGCCACGCTGTCCTCGGCTTGACTAAGGTTGACGCTGTGCTGGGGCCTTTGTCCCTTTTCGTCCATTGCATGACCTCGCCGAACTGGCAACCATGTTGGAGTCTGGACGTATGCGCTTTTCTGATTGCGCCTTAGCTATTCAGGGTGATTTCATGAAGTTGATTCCCTGCCAGGATCAAATTCCCACGTTTTCGACCCCTTCTAAGAGGCCGCGCTTTGATTCAGGGGTTGTGATTTCACCAACTCAGCCCTTCGGTGTCTTGGAGCCGCAGGCGACTGCACGTTTGCCTTTTGAGCCAGAATTCATCCTTGCTCATCAGCTGAATCATGATGTTCGTACTGTTGACTCACAGTGTAAAGGTGGTATCGTTTGTCTCTAGCATGTTGAGAAGCACTGGATCATGTTATGTCACGGTTCCCCGCGGGAATTGTTGTCCTCCTTCGGCAAAGGGGATTGCCGCATGCCAAGCGAGAAGACTTC